AAACTTGGTACAAATTTGCGGAAGGAAGAGAAATCTAAAATAGATTAATTCATCAAAAAATCTCAGAGCATCCACTGTGTGCCAGCTACTGTGCTAAGCATGGAGGATTCAAAGATAAATAAAACAGAATCCTTGTTTTCAAAGAGTTCGAAGTCTCGAGGGCAAGACAGATCCACAGAGGTGCCAACCTTACTGCCGTGCATAGGCTTTCATATTAATACATACACATTATCTATGCATAAAGGACTTCAATATCCAGGAAGGAAACAAATCTTTTGAGATTTATCTGTTATGATTTTAGTATTTCTACTACAATTGGCAGTAGCTTGATCTTTATGCCCAGGGCTGTCTTTGGGGCAGAAAGTGTGGCAATGTAGGATTTGCAGGGATTCCCTTTGCATTCTGTGAACAGGAGATAATGTATTTAATGAACTTCAGTTATATTCATTTTTAATTGATACCTAATAGACATATATATTTATACATTTATATAATATATAATCAAGTCAGGGTTTCCAAGTGTTCTCTACTAGTTATTTGGAAATATACAACAGATTATTGGTTACTATTGTCACTCTGCTGATTTATTGAACACTGTGTCTTATTTCTTCTATCTAACTATATTTTAAGTCACAGTCATTTCGCCATAGAGAATTCCTTGGACCCTTTGCATATATCCCTGAAACTCTTGAAGGTTCACTGACTCCCAGACTCTGGAGTTAGAAGTGGTTTTGGAGACGATCTCATCCATTTTCCCACCCAGGGGAAGAATCCTTCCTATGACATCCCTGACAATCACTCTATCTAGGCTGGAATATTTCTGTGACAGAGTGCACTGTTTTTCTAGGCAATCCACTTCACACTCAGCTGTTAATTTACATATGGTTGGTGCTTGATAAATACTTCTTAGAAAAACAAATGATATTGAGCAAAATTTCCCCCACTGATCCTTGCTGTCCTCTGCAGAGTGCAAATGAACAAATCTGTCTCTTTCCTACATGTTCTTGCATGTTCCAAACCTGAATAGAAAAACGCCTGCTTCCCTCCCCTGCACCTCCTCATCTCCAGGCATTCTGTGAAGTTTTTTCAAACCTGTCTTCATATGATGGCACATCCAGGCCTGACAGAGACAGCCTGCCTTGTGGTTGCTCTTATTTTCTAGTTTTCTATGATCTCAAAGTGGCTACAGTCTCCAGAGCCTGGATTATGTTCCAATCACTGCTAAGTTGGGCAGCAAGACCATATCCTCTGATGCGGTCATCACATTTCTATTACTGCAGCCCCCACCAGCATCTGCTCTTTGGGGAGCTCTCATGACACACTCACAATGGGCTTGGAGTCAACTAAAACCACTAATTCCCAGTGCTGGGTCCTCCACATGCTTGAGAAGTGTGGATTCTAGCCGAGTTCTAACAATATGTGGAGCTGGAGAAGGCAAAGTCAGGGAAGAGTGACTGGCCTCCTGCGAGAGATTCCCTTCCGGTTTATCTCTGCATTCTCCATAAGAACCAAAACAAATGAGAAACCATAGATGTAAGTAATAGAAGCAATCAGCCAGAGCCCATGCTTGAAGAATTTCTTAGAACTACGAGGTTTTACATACCAACCACGTGTAGGTGATTCAATCGCTCAAGCAAGACCAAAGGTATTTCCATTTGTTGTTTCTGCTGTTTGAACTTTTTTCCTAAATGGCCTCCTGCTTTTGCCAAGTCTCCACTTAAGCCTAGACAGTGAAGCCTGGACAGTGAAGCTTGAATTAATATTGGTGGCCCGGTGTGGTTGCTCACACCTGTAATTCCAGCACTTTGGGAGGTCGAGGTGGGTGGTTCACCTAAGGTTGGGAGTTCAAGACCAGCCTGACCAAAATGGAGAAACCCCGTCTCTACTGAAGATACAAAAAAATTAGCCAGGCATGGTGGTGCATGCCTGTAATCCCAGCTACTTAGGAGAGTGAGACAGGAGAATAGCTTGAACCCAGGAGGTGGAGAATGTAGTGAGCTGAGATTGCACCATTGCACTCCAGCCTGGGCAAAGAGCAAAACTCTGTCTCAAAAAAACAAACAAAATATTGGTGATACTGTCAGTTGCTTAAGACATGTCAGAGGGGTCACAATTTTCCTAAGCTCTGAGGAGCTGCTGAACATTTCAAATGCAGCAAATGTCACAATATAGCCTTCAGAACCCCTCAAACTGTGCATCGTTCATCTGTTTTTAGAGGAGAGATTTGCTAATACTGGGAATCTCCTGTGAGCGGCAGCTCTGGGTGTATGATCTCCACACACCTTAGCGTGCTTTTGTGACCGGCGCTGGGCTCTGGTTGAGCAGAGGTGCCCAGGCATATGGGCTGGGTGGGAACACGGTTAATGCCTGCCAGAGCCTATACGCGAGGCGTGTGGTCATGGACACACTTAGGACTACCAAGTGGACACGCAGTAAATAAGAGAAAGAAAGGGAGGAAGAAAGTCTGGCGTTCCAGGGTAGGTGTGATGAGTTTCTCAGAAGCCCTCACTCCCTGTCCTGCACTCAGCTGGAGTCGGCGATGCATCGGCATCTTAACAGAAAAGTATACTGGTGTTGGATTCCGAGGATGCAGCTGTGTTTTCCATGTCTGCGCACCACACCCCGCCCGGCTCTCTCTGACCCACACTCCCCAGTCTACTCTTGCATTCCGCGCGCTTTTCGTTCTTCCCCACGACCCCGTCTCCCAGCTTTGTCACCTACAAGAGCGTAGCGGACCCTAGCTGGCTCGTAGTCTTGCCGGAATGCTCGCGAATTAAGAGCCTCCGCGGTCCTTTTATTCTGGTGCGGGTAGATGGCGAGTGGAGCTGCCCGAGGCCGGCGCTAACCGCCAACCGCTGCGGGAGGCTGGGAGCGCGAGGCAGAGCGCGCGACATGGCCACGGTCCCTCCCGTCGCTATAGAAACGGCATCCGCCCTGTTGTGACTCCGGAGCTGAAAGGGCTTCCTCAGGCTATGGTCCAGTCCCAAACCACCTTGCAGAGCAGCAGCCTAAAGAATATATTTCTCATCCTCCTACTCGCATTCTCTTGCCCCAGTTCTTTAAAATACAGGGCAAGAATTGAACAAAATCCCAGCAAAAAGAGCTTAATATTGGTTGCCCAGACCAGACACTTGAAATCATCCCTACCCTTCCCTTCTTCAAACAAAGCATGTGGTTATCAGAATTGCATCAAAAGTTCTGGCCCTGCGCGGTGGTTTTACACCTGCAATCCCAGCGCTTCGGCAGTTCCAGGCAGATCACTTGAGGTCTGGAGTTCAAGAATAGCCTGGCCAATGTAGTGAGACCGCCCCCCGCCCCACCACCCTCGTCTCTATCTAGAAGATTTTTTTGAGAAAAAAAAAAAAATGTGTCGCAAAAGTTCCAGGTTAAATCCATTAATCAGCTGAACACTTTTTGAGTGCTTACTCTGCACCAGGTTGTAGGAAGACATGAAAGGGAAATTTATAATTGAATGACAGTAGGTTGACCTGGAGAGGAGCACACAGTCTGGTCCAGGCAGAAAAGACATTCTGAAAGAGCTGAGTTGAATTTGAGTCTTCACGGACGGGTAGCAGTTAGCTACGTAAAGGAAGCAAGTCCTAGTCTGAAGGCCAGAGCCATGGAAAAGCATGGCACCATTGTGGCAGCACCCAGTTTAGTGGGGCAGGGATCAAAGGTGTACATGGGCCGACAAGGGTGAAACAGCAGGAAGGGGCCAGCCAGACACGAAGTAGCTTGTGAACTAGACCAGGATAAGTTTTGTGTGTGTGGACTGTAGATGGGTGTTCACGCTGACTTTATTTTACAAAACCCTCTATGGCAATAACAATGGAAGGCAGGCCCGAGTAGGTTAGGAATCAAGGCAAGGAGCCCTGTTAGAAACAGTGAGTATTGGTGTTTCAGAGTAAGGGAGCGCACATGGAAGGCTAGCTTTCAGAAATTTAGGAAATGGAGTAAGATTTGGTGACTGGATGTGAAGGTGGAGAGAAGTTTCAATCCCAGGATTACCTTTGGCACCTGCAGTGATCGCAGGGCCATTCGTTTACCAACAGAAAACACGGTAGGGATGATGTCAGGGGTAGGAGAGGTTGAATTTTTTGGGGGGGAGGGGATGAAGTCTCACTGTGTCACCCAGGCTGGAGTACAGTGGTGTGATCCCAGCTAACTGCAATTTCTGCCTCCCAGCTTAAAGCGATTCTCCTGCCTCAGCTTCCTGAGTAGCTGAGACTACAGGTGCCCGCCACCAAGCCCGGCCAATTTTTTTGTATTTTGAGTAGAGGCGGGGTTTCACCGTGTTAGCCAGGATGGTCTTTATCTCCTGACCTCGTGATCTGCCTGAATTCAATGACTGATCCAGTACATCAAATCGTCAGTGGACCATCCACAGGTTTTGTGTCAAGAGCAAGGTGTAGGGTAAAGATCCTGATGTAGCAGTCACTGTTGCATAAGTGACCACTGGAGTTTTCATAGAACGTGAAACTGGTAAGACAAGTAGGTACAGGTGACACAGAAGATTGGAAAGCTTCAAAATAATGAAGAGTAGGCATGGAGATGGGAAGAAATTGACAAAGAAATGTCTCATGTGAGCCAAGGAAATGAAGTGTTTTCATCAGAGTATAATTAATGCACAGGGTGTGTAAGATGGGGTTTGGCAACTTGAAGGTATCAGTGCCTTCAGCCAGGCTGATTTTAACGTACTTTAAAATCAGGCAATTTTCAACACCCCCCTCAAAAAAATAAACTATAAATATGAATAACATAGCAAAACAGGTCATTAAGCTAGTGCCAGATGATTAATCAATTATATACCTATACTCTGTATTAGGTACTCAATATATCAGTACCTAATACAGAGTAGGCTCTTGTTTATTGTTGATCTGTACCAAATAGAGAACCTCAGTGCTACATAACTGGAAATTATGTTTTTAAAAAGGAGACAGGTGGGGCAGGTTAGGGGGCTGGTATATGATACTATAAAAATATACACTAGATAAGAAAAAAGTATACAATAGCGGTAGACAAATGCTCACTTTAATCACAATTCTAAATTAATTGTTTTCACATTAACATGGACATTTCAATAAACCAAGAAAAACTGAGTTAAGTATTATATATTTTTTAAGTTAACACGATTTGAAATTTTTTATTAAAAATTGATCAGAAGCTAGTTGAAATTTTCACCATGAATATGAAATATTAATTGTTTTTCAACATAAATTGTTTTTTAACATAAATTCAAATCTAAGCTTCCTGAAAAGCTGTATTATCTAATATCACAATAGGGATGACTAAGTGCTTGACAACTGCTTTCTAAAGAACTTAACAAAAAGTTACTACTTGAAGAAACAGCTTTCCCTTGTTTATATTTACAACAAAAAGGGTAACATTCTCTGCAGAGCTCTCATTTTATCATGAAATGTGGACAATCAGGAACAGGTGAATGTAGTGGCATCAAGAAAAAGAGCATTTCAAAATATTTCCACTTTTATTAAAGGTTTTGACAATGAAGATTTAATAAAATGCCTTTAAATTCTATTTGCTATAGAATAACGATCTACATAGGAGATGCATCCATAAAACCACAACCATTTTAGTGTGTAAAATATTTCCAAATTCATACTATAAAAAGATTTGGCTAAAATACAAAAAACCTTTGCAATAAAATTGACAAGGTAGCTTCAGTAGCATATAAGATTTCAGAAATGTCTTCTGAAAAATAAGAATGTTTCCTCTGCCACATAAAACTGAACAGTTAAGGTGCTATAAACTAGCTAAAGCCAGAAAGGCACATCATGTAACTAGAAAAGAACAGCATGTGATGTGGACTTCCTTCATGTAGAACTGATAGAAAAATAGAATATGCTTTTCACAAGGAAAGGCATGAGAAGACAGTTCTTATAAACAAAACTCACTGAAGGCTTGAAGAGCTTTACAGAGAACATAAACTTAAAATAGCTAGAGATCATTTATAGGACATGGTAATGGATTCCTTTATATGACAATACCTGCCCCAAATATAAACACAAATTAAATATAAACACCCTTGTAAAGCTGCAATTCTCTCAACCAAACATTCCTCTGGTACCACACTCAGCTGCTAGTGGCATTCGGATGCAAAGGTTTAACTCGTGCTAATCTGGACAAGCCAAGACGGAGACTCTGATTCGGAGACTTCACAGACACTACTGCCAGTGGGCTGCTGCTATTTCTGCTACCTCCAGATGCCGCTGAAAGGAAACATATGATGTGATGCTGATGATGTCAGAAATCTCTTAACAAAGATTAATTTAACAAACAAGAAGCAAAAAAGAAAAAAGGTAGTTGAGCATTATTCTCATTATTCTGCTTTCCAGAGTCTATCAAACAACAGACTAAATCAAAAGAATGAAATGTGCTAAAGAGCAGAAATAATACAATATTGCCTATTTCCAAACATCCCAGAAGTCAAGGTAATGACACTTAAACTTCACCAAGAAAGCTGACAAAGGAAAGATGGGAATGAATAACACTAGCTGTAAAGGCATAAAGAAATGCATACAGGCCGGGCACGGTGGCTCAAGCCTGTAATCCCAGCACTTTGGGAGGCCGAGGCTGGTGGATCATGAGGTCAACAGATCGAGACCATCCTGGTCAACATGGTGAAACCCCGTCTCTACTAAAAATTACAAAAAATTAGCTGGGCATGGTGGTGCGTGCCTGTAATCCCAGCTACTCAGGAGGCTGAGGCAGGAGAATTGCCTGAACCCAGGAGGCGGAGGTTGCAGTGAGCTGAGATCGCGCCATCGCACTTCAGCCTGGGTAACAAGAGCGAAACTCCGTCTCAAAAAAAAAGAAATGCATACAATGATAATTTCTAAAGTCAAAGAAAAAGCAAATGCATTTTAAAGGTCCTTCAATTTTTACAAGTAGTCCTTGAATAGTCTAGTTTTCAATTTTTACACACCGTTTGAACTGGCAAACATTGTTTTTATTTACTTATACTAGTTTCATTTATACTATTACCCTAATGTAGCAATTATTTCCATCTATTTCAAAATTATCCACATTAATATTCACAGTTGATGGTGACTGTAGTTGCTCACCTACACAACAGTATTATAAATTTAAAATAAATAATTACACCTGCTACCCTGTAACTCGGACTATACTGCTTTATCGTTTTCTAGTTTGAGAGATAAAATAATATTTTAATTTACACTTCTTTAATTACCAGCAAGACTGAAATTCTTCCTATTTTCTAGTCATATTAATAGTTCTTGGGGACACTGGTATATTTATGCCGCTGGCTGATTTTACTTTTGGGATCTTGGCGGTCTTCTCCAGTTGTATAAGATAGGTAACAAACTGGCAATGTGTGGGCCAAATCTAGCTCTCAGATATATTGTTTGGTTTACCTGGTGCTTTAAAGAAAAAGTCAACTTACAAAGATTAGCAGATTTCATATTAAAATCTGAATTTCTGGCTACTCTTGAAAACAAAAATCAGATCTAGAAATACCAGGCCCATAATCCTTAATCCTTTATAAGACAGAGCTGAGTAGCAGCTGCTTCCTTCCAAAGGGTTTGTGCTCCTGAGTCCAACAAAATTCCTACTCACCCAAGTCTACTGCATGTGCGCAACTCACCCATTACATCACTTGCCTGACCCCATCACATACTGACTTTATAAGTACTTTGTGCTCTATGATACTAACTCTTTATTCATCATTCTACTGTTTCCTTGTATGTTTTTTATTATGCTCCTTTAAAATTTCTACAGTTATGTCATTTCTTTCACATTTCTTTCATTGGGGAAGCACTAATTATTCTTGGAAATATACTAAGTATTACTCTTTGAATTTTATGACATCATTATTTCAGTAATTAATCTTCCCTCCTTTCCTTCTCCAAAGAGCTTTTAGGTCCTCATTAAAAATCTTAGAATTTGTAAACCAGAATGCACGTTAAAGATTACATCTGTTTCCAATATTTCATATGATGAAATTAAGACTCTGTTAGTTAAGTAATCATGGAAGCCTCACAGTTCAGGCCTAAAGCTGAATACTAGTCATCAGGGGAGTGACGACTGTGGATGAATCAAAAAAGGCCACTCAAAAGAAAAACAGGAGTAGAATTGGAAGGGCTTAGGAGAGGGAACATATGAATAAAAATATACCAGGCAGAGGAGGATAAAAAGAGGCCCTGAGAGAGTAAAACATATAACCATTCAAAAGTGGGCAAAGGATATGAACAGACACTTTATGGAAGAAGACATATATGAGGCCAACAATCATATGAAAAAATGCTCATCATCACTGGTCATCAGAGAGATGCAAATCAAAACCACATTGAGATACCATCTCACGCCAGTTAGAATGGCGATCATTAAAAAATCTGGAGACAACAGATGCTGGAGAGGATGTGGAGAAAAAGGAACACTTTTACACTGTTGGTGGGAGTGTAAATTAGTTCAACCATTGTGGAAGACAGTGTGGCGATTCCTCAAGGCCTTAGAAATAGAAATTCCATTTGACCCAGCAATCCCATTACTGGGTATATATCCAAAAGACTATAAATCATTCTACTATAAGGACACATGTACACGAATGTTCATTGCAGCACTCTTTACAATAGCAAAAACCTGGAATCAACCCAAATGCCCATTGATAATAGACTGGATTGGAAAAATGTGGCACATATACACCATGGAATATTATGCAGCAATCAGAAATGATGAGTTCGTGTCGTTTGTAGGGACATGAATGAATCTGGAGAACGTCATCCTCAGCAAACTGACACAAGAACAGAAAATGAAACACCGCATATTCTCACTCATAGGCGGGTGATGAAAAATGAGAACACATGAACACAGAAAGGGGAGTACTAAACACTGGGGTCTATTGGGGGGAAAAGGGGAGGGCCAGTGGGAGGGGGAGGTGGGGAGAGATAGCCTGGGGAGAAATGCCAAATGTGGGTGAAGGGGAGAAGCAAAGCAAAGCACAGTGCCATGTGTGTACCTACGCAACTGTCTTGCACGCTCTGCTCATGTACCCCAAAACCTAAAATCCAATTAAAAAAAAAAAAAACATATAACATGTTTGAGAGACAAAAAGTGTTTCACTGAATAGAGAGTTTCACTGAATTAGAGGGACCATGGATGAGAGAAAGTAAAGACAAGACTGGTTAGGAAGGCAGCAACAATTTGGGCCTGGATTAGGGTTTTAGTAATGTCAAGAAGGGTGAAGGTTAGAGAATTCTTGAAGGATCCATGAGGCTTGGCTGTGGAGCAAAAGAAAACAAAGAGAAGCGAAATCTGTAAAAGTCAGAGGTTGACTTTGCTACAGCATTTGCTAAATGCTAGAATTGCCACATATAGATCCCAAGGCTTCAGTCAGACTGTGGAGGTCAAGCAGGTCTTGGGCAAAAGATGTGCTGCCAGAAATACATATATCAGGAATCTCAAATGTTTATACTCTCTAACACTGTAATTATCCTACTAGAAATTTTATCCTGGGAAAATAATCAGTAATGTGCTCAGAGACTCCTGAAATAAGGACATTTGTGCTTATTGCAATCTTACTTACAGCACTAAAAATCATAAACCTGGATGTCTAATAATAAGGGAATGGTTAAATAAATGCAGCATGAAGAATATGTGATAATATCGGGAAATGCTCACACATGACATTTATAACTAGGAAAACAATTTACCAGTGATAATTTTCCAAGTTACTGCCCTTGATAAATATACCATACCTGGTGGGACCCATTTAGGTCTCTTATTTTCAGCTGAAGGACTGCGTATTTGTAATAGTTTGCTAGTGACATCTGAAGAAAGAGAATCCTTTTTTGGCGAGGAATGAGATTCTGATTTGACAGCAGCTGGAGCAGAGTCTATTGAAGTCACTTATTTGAAAAATAAACGTAAAAAATTTGTCATTCAGGAAGAAAAAGTAAGTTTAGCATGTATGTATAAAAATTATAAAGTTACATAATCATATAAATAAACTTATTAATCAACAAACATGTACTGACAGCCTAAGAACAGCCATCTTTTATAAGCATTAATATACCGGGTAGTGGGTGGGCATATCACACACATTACCTTTAACCTTTTACAACAACTCCAATACAGATACTAATCTCCCCACTATCAGAGAAGGAAATAGAGACGTTAAGCAATCTTAACGTGCACACCTGTAATCCCAGCTAAAGGCATGCACAGTGTGGTGGCTGAGGCAGGAGAATCACTTGAACCCAGGAGGTGGAGGCTGCTGGGAGCCGAGATTGCGCCACTGTACTCCAGCGTGAGAGACAGAGCAAGACACTGTCCCCACCCCCGACAACACTGTAAATGTGAAAATGGAAAAAAAAATTGGAGACAGTGAGTGAAAACACCACTTTAGACAGGTTCTCAGGAAGAATGTCAGGGCCTGAGATGTCACAGATCCAACTCCACCCCCACAGCACGTAACATTTGTTGAAAGTGAGGCAGAGAGAGGTCAGAAGACTTGCTGGGGAAAAGTGGGGCAGGGCTGGCTCTTCAGAACCAGGAGCACCTCCCAGAGCCATACTTTCTGTCTGCCCCAAGCAGGGAGCCTTGTCTGTCCAGAAGAAAGGCTGAGAGGAATGCCAAATGTGGGTGAAGGGGAGGAAGGCAGCAAAACACACTGCCACGTGTGTACCTATGCAAATGTCTTGCATGTTCTGCACATGTACCCCAAAACCTAAAATGCAATAAAAAGATAAAAAAATAAATCAGGTTCAGAGCGACTGGTGTTATTAATAATAAAAAAAATCTAACTTGGTGTGTGGCATGCCCAATAAATATTATTCTCTTTCTCCTCAAAAAAAAAAAAAAAAAAAGAAAAAAAAGAAAAAGAAAAAGGAAAAGAAAGAAAGAAAGAAAGGCTGAGAGGCCACCATTGTCTAGGGGCTTGTCCAAGTCATGCCTCAAGCCCGCAGGCAGGCATCTTTCCCCTGCAAAACCCCATTGTCCAGATGAAGACCTGCCACTTGGAGAGGCAAGCCCAGCTCTAGCCCAGGGGATGAGGAGGCCCGCAGCTCAGAGCTCTGGGTCAGGTCTCATTCCTCACTTGGATCTGACCCATAGCAAGTCATGCAGCCTCAGCATTAGTCTCCTCATCTGTGAGTGTAGATACCTCCCCTACCAAGGCTGACCTGGGCATTACATGAAATGGTGGAGAGCCGGGCCCAGTGGCTGGCCTGGGTAAGCAGCTGTTATATCTGCCAACATCGTTGCTACAGGCCTCTGCCTCTCTGCTCTGAGTGAGGTGGTCTGGGTGACTGCTGGCAGCAAGTCCTGCCCACCTGAGCCCTCTTGGTCTCTGGAACCTCAGGCAAGAATTCAGCTGAGGTTGCCCCTTCTATGGTAGGTTCCAGGTCCTGCCTCCCTCTCAGGGTCCCTGACCTCTGTGCAGACACAGAGCGGGTGTCAGGCTACTAGTCTCTCATTTATTGATTCTTTAAATATTAGCTGTGCATTAGTTGTGCATGTGTTATGTGCCAAGCACTATGCAGGGCACTCAGGGTTGGCAGAGTGGAGTGAAAGCCAACCTGATCTCTGCTCTCATGAAGTTCCCTGCATTGTAGGGGACACAGACTTTGTTTTCTGTTTCTGTTTTTTGAGACAGGGTCTTGTTCCGTCGCTTAGGCTGGAGTGCAGTAACATAATCACAGCTCACTGCAGCCTTGAGCTCTCAGGCTCAAGCAATCCTCCCACCTCAGCTGCCCGAGCAGCTGAGACCACAGGTGTGTGCCACCACACCTGGCTACTGCTTTCAGTTTTTGTAGAGACAGGGTCCCACTAAGTTGCCCAGGCTGGTCTTGAACTCCTCGCCCCCAAGCACTACTCCTGCCTCAGCCTACCAGTGTTGGGATTACAGGTATGAACCACCATGCCTATCCTGGATGCAGGCTTTAAACAGAGTCACACCAATAAGAAGAGCTGTGAAGGTCAGGGCATGACCCCAGATGGGCGAACACTGCATTGGAGGTCCAGGAAGACTCTCCTGACAAGGCAACCCTGAACCAAGATAAGGATAAGAGGGAGCTGATCACATGGAAGAGGGAACAGTATTCCTGGCAAGTGGAACAGCATGTGCAAAGGCCAGGTAGTAAGAGGGGCTTCAGGGACAGTCTATGGCTAGAGCAGAGTGATTGAGGGCATGTGAAATGAGAGGCGGCCAGGGTGGCCCAATCAGCCATGGAAGGGATGGGACTTTAGTCACTGTTCCACATTTCCAGATGTTTACTGTGTGCCAGGCTTGGTGCTAAATGCTTTTCTGAAGTATCACACTAGATTCTCACATAGGTAGGACAGCAACTGTTCTTCACATTTTAGAGATGAAGGGCTTGATCTCAGGTTAGATCCCTCAGCGGAGAGCCCACAGTGAGGAAGCAATGGGACCTGTGATGGCAAGGCCTGTGTTCAGAACTGCCAGGCCACACAGAACTCAACTCACTACAACCTCCTGAAGTGGGTGTGATTCTTCTTCCCACTTTGCAGAGGAGGACATGGGCCCACAGAGCTTGTAGGTGGAGTTGAGCCTGGGCAGTCTGGCTCCAGAGTGTCCACGGTCTCAACCACTGGCTCACATGGCTTCTTAGGAAGCAGGAGAAAAGGCAGCTCAGGCCACCAAGTGAAAAGAGTGGAGCGGGGACAGTGGCGTGACCGGGACCATGCTGTGATGGAGTCCAGTGGACACATTCAGGATGAGGTGAAACATGCTGACCCTGGTGAGGGGCTAGATGGAGCTGGGATGATGGGGGAGCCAGGTGAACTTGGGGTTGGGTTGGTGAAGCTGGAAGGTGTGCGGAATGTCTCTGAGGTGAGGCCGGGTGGGGCGGGAATGCCATGTTTGGTCTGGGACATGGAGCGTTTGGATGGCTATGGGGCAGTGCAGTGGAGAGTCAAAAAGGCTGCTCGGACCCAGGTCTGGCGAGATGGAGGCTGGAGGTGGGGTGAGCCATCTAGGAGAAGGACAGAGTGGGAAGCAGAGGCTCTCGACTTGGCTTTCTTGCCAAAGGAGGGATCTGAAACAGAAAACTGTGGAATCTAAGCTGGAGAGGAAGATGGAGAATGAGAGAATGCACAAGCATGGGACAGAATAATATGCATTTCTTTGGCTCCTCTGTACCTGAGTCTTCTAAAGCTGCGGGCAGATGACCCCCGGGAGGCTGCAGGAATGCCAGCTGGGAGCTGAGTGCAGCTCTGCTGCCTGGGCATGGCCTGGGTGAGGGTGCATACGCTCACCTGTGATTGCCAGGGAGCATGAGTGATGAGAACAAGGTGGCTGACAGGGTGAGGCCCAAGCCTGGAGCTCACCCAGGTTGGGGGGGGTCTGGACCTTTGAGGGGATTTTAGGGAGCTTCCCCAGCCCTAAGGGCACCATGAACTGCTTCAAACTGACCTGGGCATACATGGCTGCATGATCTCTCGCTCACTCTCTCACATGCAAATGTAGACCATACAGCCATCCTGCCCACAGATCCAGAAAGCCCAGGACACAACAGAGCTGTAGTGCCTGCCTGACCCCCATGCACAACAGACCTAGCCCAGGAACATGCAGCCCAGTGGCAGGAGCCACTCACCCGAGCCCTCCCTGCCTGAGGACCCCCCAGCCTCTGGCCTCATTTCCCCCCCACCCTTGTCAGCCAGCCAGGGGGACAGAACAGGCCTGGATCTAACCCAAGGCCCAGACTCAGCCTGACACTGTGTGAACTCAAGGCCTTCCCCACCTCACCCAGGGCCAGAGCCCTTGCCTATAAAGTGGAAGTGGGAATGGCCACCACCCAGGTAGAAATCCTCACTTAGGGCCTCACGGCCAGGCATCAGGGCTGTTGGGAGAGGGGCCAAGGAGCCCTTGCCTGTCTTGGTATCCCACCATCACCAGGAGGGGGCTGTGTGGGCATCACACCCCTCACAGATGAACAAAGCAAGGCAGTGAAGGGTCTCAAGGTGAGTTAGGGGCAAGGTCCCAGCTCTGCTGCTGCCCCTGCAGTCTGGGATGGGAGGGTAGCTAGTGGCCAACCCCAAGGACTCTAGGCTAGGGTCCCGTGGCCTGCTCCCAGCCTGCATGCCACAACATGGGGGTCCTCTGGCTGGCCCAGGAGCACGATCGGCCCAGCAGAGCAGCTCGGTGTTATGGGGAAGGGAGGCCCAGCCCACCAGGCCAACCGCCTGGGGCCCCATGTATATTTAATGATGTCTATCATTCCTGTTTTGTCTCTAGAAAAGACTGAGCAGCTGACAGCGGAGCTGCAAACAGCCCAGGACCCGGGCCTGGGCCTGCTCCATATTCCAGCTGGGCCCTAGGCCCCCCTGGAGCTCTCTACCTCTCCTGACAGCCTCACAGAACCTGCTGCATCCCTCCGAAAAGGCACACCTCCTCTGGGAAGCCTTCGCTGCTGCTCATAGGTCTTACATCTAGGCTCTGCATTCAAAAACTGCAACGTGCACCAGCTTCCAAGGGACAGTAGAATACTGTGGGGGGCCGGCACTGTCCCTGGCACATTATGGGTACTCAATGAGCCCCTGCCAGCCCCTCTCCTCCTGGCTTCTGAGGCAACAGGAAATGGTCAGCCACCTTGTTCTCACGGGGGAGCCTCCCTGCCACCCAGATGGTCACAAAGGCCTCCTGGGATGCTGCGCACCTTGGCAGCCAGGCCCCTCTGGAGGGGCCAGTCTGGGCCTGACACCCATGACCAACTCCCTGGGTAGAGCCTGCCTGTGCCTGGCTGAGGAACCCTGCATTCTTTTTGCCACCCATGGCCTGGGGCTGCCCTGGGGATCCAGGCTCCACCCTCTCCAACTCCCAGGCCCACTGCTACCCTCAATGCTTGACCTGTGCCCACCTGCCTCAACCTGGCTATTGTTCAGCAAGGTTACAAAGTGTTCTCGGTCTGGACAGGAATGGTTTTCAATCCTTTATTTCAGAAAGGAGAGCCAGGAGAACTGGGGACTTAGAAAACAGATTCTAAACTCAAAAGTCCCTGGCCCAGGTGTGTAGAGCCAGGGTCTGGGGGTTTTGTGCTGGGCAGGAGCTGCCCTGGAAGGGTCAGAAAGAGGGAGGCACTTTAGGACACCCCTTAGGCTGTGGAGGGTGTCAGCTGGGCTTTTGAAGCCACTAACTTCTGCTTCCAAACCTGGAGAGCCTTGAGTGGAGGACCCAAGGGGGTTTCTTCCTGGAAGGGCCCCAAGCCCGAGTGTCAGAGAAGTGTGTGTATTTGTATTTTTGTTTGGGTGTTTGTGTGTCCCAGTAGGACCGACGCCCCCAGGGAGATGAGGCAGGTGGGCGGGAGGCCTGGCAGGCACCATTACTTCTTCATGATCTGGATGACCTCCTCATGCTCCATGGTGTGGGTCAGACCCACCTGCTGTGAACTGTACTTGGTGCTGGTGCCCTGGGTGAGGAATGGGGGCAGAGGGGTCACCTCAGCCTGGACTGGCCAAGGGCAAGGCCAAGAAAGATATCCCTGGGGTGTATGTCCTGGGGGTGAATGCTGGCATAAGGTCAGGGCCCCAGGCAGCAGGACATCTGCAGTGGTCTGACCATCCCTGACCTCGAAGGTGGGGGAGGGCCAGGCACAGTGGCTAATGCCTGTAATCCCAGCACTTTTGGAGGCCTCATTTAAGCTCAAGGATCACTTGTGCTCAGGAGTTCCAGACCAGTCTGGGCCAGATAGCAAGATCCCATCTCCATAAAAAATCAGTCAAGCATGCTGGTGTGCGCCTATACTCCCAGCTACTTGTGACACTGAGGTGGGAGGACTGCTTGAGCACAGGATGTCAAGGCTGCAGTGAGCTGCAATTGTGCCACTGCACTCCAGCCTGGGAGACAGAGCCAGACCCTGTCTTAAAGAAAAAAAAAAAAAAGGAAAAGGGTGGGGAAGGCCCATGTCCAGCCTGGGTGAACACATACATTCTATGGAGGACAGACACACAGTCATGCCAATCCCCACAGGAAAAACAGGAACACCATGCAGAGGAATGTGAACGCCTTGCTCCATGCCTAATCCGGGGGCTCTGCTGGGTCTAAGCCCCTGCCTGCCTCCCACCCAGACACTTACCCACACCAGGGCATACTTGAACTGGCTGGCGAGTGACCGGTGGATGCAGGATCACTGGAGGACAGGAGAGAGACAGAGGTGAGGCTCCACCTAACCCCATCCCAAGCTCAACCACACTGTCTCTCACTTCTCCTGGCCCCACCTGTGACCTGAAGCCTCCCACATATCACATCACCCCCAACTCCCAGAGCAGCGTACACCCTCCAGTGCTTCTTGGTAGGGATGAAGGTCACAGGGGTCCCAGATGTCACGTGAAATTGGAAGGAGGCCCTGGAGGGGCAACCAGCATTTTCCCTGAGTGTGGACCTCTGGTTGCCACACTGATGGTGGGACAGTGGAGGGTGGCAGGGAAGGGACTCTGCAATTGTGCGATGCGGCTCCTCCTTCTACATGCCCACAAGTCTTCCAGGCCCCAGTGGGAGACAAAACACCTCAGCCCAGTGTCCCTGGGGCAGAGGCGGCGCCAGGCCTGCAGGTCCACTTCCCTGACAGAGATGGGAAGTTGGCTGATTCGGGCCTGCAAATGGGTCTTACTTTTTACTCAGCTTGCCACTTGTGAGTGTCTGAAGGGATTCACGAGGGTGATCGTGAGTCTTCTTGGCTCCTCCTGATGTGATCTCAAGCCTAGGTCTTAGAGAGATGGGACATTGCATGGCCTCATTTGTTCAACACCTCCAGGGTTGCACCCAGAGACCTGGGGCTGGGCTTTCAGAAGGAATGAATGCATGAGACCAGATTACAAGCCCAGCCACCACTGTCATAAGGGGCTAGAGGGACAGTGTCCCTTGCTTCCATGATACAGATCCCAAGAAGAAATCAGCTTGAGGAAAATAACACCTGGGAAAGCAACAGCCCAAGCACAGCCATGTGACCCAACACTTGGCCACCACCAATGCCTGCAGGGTCATGTTCAGGTGACAGAATTCTGGACAGAGAAAGGCAGCCTCATGCTCCCTGAGCCAATAGCACGTCCTCTGGGGCCTGTGCATGCCTGCTCCCCTATCTGGGATGCTCCCCACCCCAACTCCTCACTGCCAGACCTGCTAGTTCTACAAGCCAGCTCAGGTGGCCTCCTTGAAACCTGTCCTGACTTCTATGTTGAGCCAGTGCCACTCCCCACTCCTTGGCTGATGCCTGAATGGCATGGGAGCAGGGTTACTGGCATCTATGCACTACAGGCAGCGTGCTCAGTGCCCTACATGCTGGACTTAATCCAATGTGTCTTCCTCATGACCCAGGGGGGCAGGCAGCACATCCCACCTCACAGGAGAGGCTGGAGGCACAGCACATGGCTAGGAAGCGGTGCTGCAGACGCAGCCCCAGACTGTCCAACTCCAGAGCCTGTGTGTCATCATCTGAAATTGAGACCAGCAGAGCCCACCCCTGGCCCAGGGCACCTCAGGCAGAACAGCGCTCCAAAGGGCACACAGAGCTCCCACCTCCTGTTAGGGCAGGTCTTGTCAACTCACCACGTGCTCCACTGAGGCCCCTTTCCGGAGGATGATGGCGTCTGTGAAGTCCGGCCTCTCGGCAGGGCGAGATGGGGAGAGCATCAACCACACACGAGGACCCACACTGCCGCCTCATGATTCTGCCTGAGGGAAGAGATGGCTGCAGAGGCCCTTGCAGTCTCCTTGCCTTGGCCTAATGTCCCTGATATCCAGCACGCCCTCCGCATATATCCCTGCGCCATCTTCTACAAGCCTCACTTGAACACAGTGACTCAAAATAAATCAAAGTCCAGGATCACACTGCCTGCCACCCATCTGCTGTGACAGCACTGACAGAGACCAGGATCTAGACTCAACGGGCAGGACCCAAAGGGATGTTGCAGTCTCGTGAGGGTAACTGTAGCTCGCTCCTTGCTGCCAAGGTCAGGGTTGATGCAAAGTGCTCTGAATTCAGCAGCTGAGACCCCAGGGCATATGTGTGTGTGCAACCACCAGGAGGATGGGTGGGGGGTCAGACACGGGGAGGGCTCTTGTGGATTCAGGTCACTAATGCTCCTGCAGAGGGGTCTGTCACTGTGAGGGGAGGTCAGGGTGGCACTAACTGCTGCAGCCAGTGAGGACCCCGAGGTAGCCTTGCCCCACCAGGGCACCCTCAAAACCAGCAGTGCCCAGTGCTGAGAAGGGAAAAGAGCTGCGATGTGTCTAAATAAGCAAGGCCACAGCTGGTGCCGGGGTCTGTGGACACCACCCTCAGGCCTGGCAGCCTTTTAGGGAGGATGAAGCTCAGCCTGTTTCTCAGCTACACTCAGTGTAACTCACGTCCTCTCTTCCTGGTGTAGATGCAGGTCAGGGCCAAGTACTCCCAAAGCATCTCCAGCAGGTAGTCCAAGTTCAGCTTCATACCGCAGCTGCAAAGAGGGAGGCGGCCAGTCAGGCAGGGGCCCCTGTGAGTTCAGAGGCTGGGTCTCCACTTCTCACTATTAAAGGGGACAATTTCCACTGGCCAACCTGGGCACCAAGGCCAGCTGGCTCGCCAGTGCCCACAGGGAAACAAGCCCATTACTCTTGATGGCAGCTTGACATTTCTGCTGCCAGCGCCTCTGGACACCAATCATGACCCTGTCAACCAGGGTCAGCATCTCTCCTAGGGGCTGGCAAGACCATGCTCTGTGGAGAATTGTAGCTTGTGTCTGATGAAGGGCTGCCATGGGGAGATGGCTGGGGGCTGTGATGGGACCAAGGGCAAAGGCTGGGACCCAGAGCTCACTCCTCGCAGAGAGGAGCTAGGGATTGCCAGGAAGTCCAGTAGGGATTTGAGCATGAAGAGAAGAGAACCGAGGCTCTGGAGACACCAGGTCGAGGGTGGACCGTGGCTTAATCATTTGCAGTGTGACCCTGAGCTGTGTCCTAACCTCTGTAAAGCTGTTCTATGCACGAGCAGGTAAAGCTGTAGAGCTGTCAGCCCTGAGGATGGCAGCCCCTCTAAGGCCTGGGACACAGCAAAAGGAGTGGAGCTGAGGCTGTGCTATGGGATGGACACTGCTCTTTGTGGTGGCGACAACAATCACGAAATGATCCTTGTACTCAGGCCAGGACCCTCAACCACCACTGGCACTGTCCAGCCTCTTGGTCCCTGAGCTCTCTGTACTGTCGGCTGAGCTTCACTGTGAAGCTGCAGAGCGCTGGCTTCAAGTCAGAAAATCAGAAAAGTGAAGCACCTGAATCAGTCTGCCCCAGGGAGGAACCTGCCAGGTGGTCCTACCAAGTGAACAAACAGCCAGTGTGGGCGGTATCCCTGGGACCCACCCTGCAAAGGAGGGCAGGAATTAGGTGACCTGAGCCTGAGAACATTAGTTCCTTTTCCCCCTTTGAGCTGTGATCAGACAGAGGGCCTAAGCTTTCCGGCCTATACAGGCTGCCAGGGGCTGGGGAGGAACCGAGTCCCCAGAGATTGCTGCAAGGAAAATTCAAAAGTTGAGCCCGTAGACATGGCCAAGAAAAGGAGCTGGGCCCCGAAACACCTACCTGAAGACGTTCTGGGCCGAGAGGATGTCAGCAGGCCAATGCTGGGCCCAGGAGGGCCACCGGGAGGCATCAGCTTGGCCCCATGGGACCACGGAGAGACTGGGGGCGGGGTCTGTGGATACAGGCTGCCACAGCAGCAGGAGCTGGGCCTGAGCAGAGGCCACGGTGATTCCACAAGCTGGGCCTGGAGGGTCCACTGAAAGGTGGAGGCTGGGTCCTGTATGGGCCTGGCACAGGCAGAAGCTGGGCCTGGGGAGGCCAGGCCTGGAGAGGAAGCTTTGGGCCTGGACAGGCCGCCGGGAGGCAGGAGCTGGCCCGGGAGAGTCTGTGATAGGCGAGCTGGGCTCAGGAATACCCTGCGAGGGAGCGCCTGAGCCTAGACTCAAGGCAAGAGTGAGGTGAGAGCTGGGTCCGGAGGTTTGCCACAGGCATGAGCTGGGCCCCAATGGGCCACTGTGAGGGAAGCACTGGGCTCCAATGAGCCACTGTAAGGAAAGCACTGGGCTCCAATGAGCCACTGTGAGGGGGACGCTGGGCTCCAATGAGCCACTTTGAGGAAAGCGCTGGGCTCCAATGAGCCACTGTGAGGGGGATGCTGGGCCTGTGGATGCAGGCAGAATGCAGGCAGGCAGGCAGGATCTTGGTGTGGGGAAGCCATCAGCAAGCAGTAGCTGGTGCTGGGGAGGCTGCAGAGAATCCAGAGCTGGGTCCAGAGGGGCCAATGTCAGATGGTAGCAGGGCCTGTCAAGGCCACTGGTAGGCAGAACGGAGGCAGAAACCCCACTTGAGAAGCTTCGGGCCAAATTGAGCCTCAACTGGCCAGTGTGAGGGAGGCGCTGGGCCTGTGGATGCAGCCAGGATGCAGGTAGCCAAGACCTTGGCCTGCGGAAGCAGTCAGCAGGCAGCAGCTGGGGCTGGGGAGGCTGCGGGGACTCCAGAGCTCAGCCCTGAGGCCCAGTCCTGCTTTGTCCTCCTGCTGGCCTTGGGAAGCCCAAGCATTGGGTCATGAAGTCCGCGTCTGCAGGTCCAGCTCCTGCCCTCCCGGCGGCACCCCCCAACATGGGCACAATACATCATCACGTGGTCCCCTCCGGGGCTAGGTCCTGCATCCCAGTGGCCCCATGGGGCCCAGGTCCTGTTCCCATCAGGCAGTCACTCCAGGAGGCCCAGCCTGTGCCTCCCTACTGGCAGCCTCACGAGGCCTGAACCTTCTCCTGGCCACATCAACCGGCCCAAGTTTTGTGCCAGGCAGCCTCTTTTGGCTCGGCCTTTCGTCTGTCGACCCGAAGCTTCCTCAGGTGGGGCCTTCTAGGTGTCCCTTCTGTTGAGGCCACCGGGAGGCAGAAGGGATGCCTGAAAGGTGCCACCTGAGGAAGCTTTGGGCCGACAGATGAAAGGCCTCCAGGAGATGGCCAGGAGCCGAGCCAAAAGACACTGCTGGGGACCAGGCGCAGTGGCTCACGTCTGTAATCCCAGTACTTTGGGAGGCCGAGACGGGTGGATCACGAGGTCAGGAGATCGAGACCATCCTGGTCAACATGGTGAAGCCCCGTCTCTACTAAAAATACAAAAAATTAGCTGGGCATGGTGGTGTGTAATCCCAGCTATAATCCCAGCTGCTCAGGAGGCTGAGGCAGGAGAATTGCCTGAACCCAGGAGGCAGACATTGCAGTGAACCGAGATCATGCCATTGCACTCCAGCCTGGGCAACAAGAGCAAAACTCCAACTCAAAAATAAAAATAAAAAAATTAGCTGAGCATGGTGGCACGTGCCTCTAATCCCAGCTACTCAGGAGGCTGAGGAAGAATTGCCTGAACCCAAAAGGCGGAGGTTGTGGTGAGCCGAGATCACGCCATTCTACTCCAGCCTGGGTAACAAGAGTGAAAATAGGTCTCAAAAAAAAAAATACAAAAAATTAGCTGGGCATGGTGGTGCATGCCTGTAATCCCAGCTACTGAGGAGGCTGAGGCAGGAGAATTGCCTGAACCCAGGAGGCAAACATTGTGGTGAACCGAGATCATGCCATTGCACTCCAGACTGGGCAACAAGAGCAAAACTCCATCTCAAAAAAAAAAAAAAATTACCTGGGCACGGTGGCGGGTGCCTGTAATCCCAGCTACTCAAGAGGCTGAGGAAGGAGAATTGCCTGAACCCAAAAGGCGGAGGTTGTGGTGAGCCGAGATCACGCCATTCTACTCCAGCCTGGGTAACAAGAGCGAAAATAGGTCTCAAAAAAAAAAAAAAAAAAAAAAAAAAATTAGCTGGGCATGGTGGTGCATGCCTGTAATCCCAGCTACTCAGGAGGCTGAGGCAGGAGAACTGCCTGAACCCAAGAGGCAAAGGTTGAGGTGAGCCCAGATCAGGTCATTGCACTCACGCCTGGGTGACAAGAGAAAAACTCCATCTCAAAATAAAAAAGAGGCTGCCAGGGGCAAAACTTGGGCCCGTAGACATGGCCAAGAGGAGGATCCAGGCCTGGAGAGGCCGCCAGTACGGAGGCAGAGAATGGGGCTCCAGGAGAGGCTGATGGGAGGCAGGAGCTAAGCCCAGGGAGCCTTTGGGAGGCATGAGCTGGCCCTAGAAGGGCCCATGTGACAATGTTTTGCACCCATGGGGAGGAGATGCCAGGAGAACTAAAGCTGGGCCTGGAGAGGCCGAATTGAGAACCCAATGCTTGGGCCTGTAGAAGCCAATAGGAGGAGTCCGGACCCGGGCCTGGAGAAGCTGACTCTGGGACATCTGGAACCTGTAGGAACCCTGGCTGGGCAGAAGCTGAGCCTGGAGAGGCCAGCGTGAGGCATGAGCTGGGTAGTCTTGAGAGCCTGAGTCACGGGCCTGAGCTTTCGGGCCTACAAAGGCCTCCAGGAGCTGGGGAGGAGCCCAGTCCACAAAGGTTGCTGTGAGGCGAGATTGGAAGGTTGGCCCTTAGAAACCGCCGGAAGGAGGGGCTGGGCCCCAAGAGGCTGACCTGAAGACATTCTGGACAAGGAGAGGATGCCAGAAGGCCAACGCTGGGCATGGAAGGGCCGCCTGGGGCCACTGGGAGGCTACAAGCTGGGCCTGTGAAGACAGGCTGCCAGAGACAGGAGCTGGGCTGAGGAGAGGCCACGATGAGGCCACAAGCTGGGTCTGGAGGGTCCACTGAGAGGCAGAGGCTGGGCCCGGAGGGGCCTAGCACAGGCAAAAGCCAGGCCTGGAGAGGCGGGGCCCGGAGGAAGCTTTGGGCCTGGACAGGCCGCTGGGAGGCAGGAGCTGGCCAGAGAGTTTATGAGAGGCGAGCTGGGCCAAGAAAGGCTGGTGCGAGGGAGGACTTGGGTCCAGACTCAAGACCAGCACCAGGCGAGAGCTGGCTCCAGAGACGTCCTGCAAAGGCATGAATTGAGCCTCAACTGGCCAGTGTGAGGGAGGCGCTGGGCCTGTGGATGCAGCCGGGATGCAGGCAGGCAGGCAAGATCTTGGCCTGCGGAAGCAGCCAGCAGGCAGCAGCTGGGGCTGGGGAGGCTGGGGGGACTCCAGAGCTCAGCCCTGAGGCCCAGTCCTGCTTTGTCCTCCTGCTGGCCTCGGGAGGCCCAAGCACCGGGTCATGACGTCTGCGTCTGCAGGTCCAGCTCCTGCCCTCCCGGCAGCACCCCCCAACGTGGGCACAATACATCATCACATGGTCCCCTCCGGGGCCAGCTCTGGCATCCCAGTGGCCCCTGGAACCCAGGTCCTGATTCCCATCAGGTGACCTCTCCAGGAGCCCCAGCCTCTGCCTCCCTACTGGCAGCCACACCAGGCCTGGCACCTCCTCCTGGCCACGTCTACAGGCCCAAGTTTTGCCCCTGGCAGCCTCTTTTGGCTCGATTCCTGGCCAGCTCCCAGAGGCCTTTCATCTGTCGGCCCAAAGCTTCCTCAGGTGGGGCCTTCTGGGCGTCCCTTCTGCCTCCTGGTGGCCTCAACAGAAGGGACACTGAGGAAGCTTTGGGCCAGCAGACAACAGGACTCCGGGTGCTGGCCAGGAGCCAAGCCAAAAGACACTGCTGGGGACCAGGCACAGTAGCTCACGCCTGTAATCCCAACACGTTGGGAGGCCGAGGCAGGTGCATCATGAGGTCAGGAGATCGAGACCATCCTGGTCAACATGGTGAAGCCCCGTCTCTACTAAAAATACAAAAAATTAGCTGGGCATGGTAGTGAGTGCCTGTCATCCCAGCTACTCAGCAGGCTGAGGCAGGAGAATTGCCTGAACCCAGGAGGGAGAGGTTGCAGTGAGTTGAGATCATGCCATTGCACTCCAGCCTGGGCAACAACAGCAAAACTCCACCTCAAAAACAAAAAAAAACAATTAGTTGGCCATGGTGGTGTGTGCCTGTAATCCCAGTTACTCAGCAGGCTGAGGCAAAAGAATTGCCTGAACCCAGGAGGCAGAGGTTGTTGTGAGCCGAGATCGTGCCATTGCACTCCAGCCTGGGCAACAAGAGCAAAACTCTGTCTCAATAAAAAAAAAAAAAAAAAAATTAGCTGGGCACGGTGGCGTGTGCCTGTAATCCCAGCGACTCAGGAGGCTGAGGCAGGAGAATGCCTGAACCCAGGAGGCAGAGGTTGCGGTGAGCCAAGATCACACCATTCTACTCCAGCCTGGGTAACAAGAGTGAAACTCTGTCTCAAAATAAAAAGAAAAAGAAATTAGCTGAGTATGGTGGCGTGTGCCTGTAACTCCAGCTACTCAGGAGGCTGAGGAAGGAGAATTGCCTAAACCCAAAAGGCGGAGGTTGAGGTGAGCTGAGATCACGTCATTGTACCTGCGCCTGGGAAACAAGAGCAAAACTCCATCTCTTTAAAAAAAAAAAAAAAAAAAGAGGCTGTCGGGGGCAAAACTTGGGCCCGTAGACGTGGCCAGGAGAAGGATCCAGGCCTTGAGAGGCCGCCAGTATAGAGGCAGATGCTGGGCCTTCAGGAGAGGCTGATGGAAGGCAGGAGCTAAGCCCAGGGGGCCTTTGGGAGGCATGAGCTGGCCCTAGAAGAACCCACGTGACGACGTTTGCACCCATGGGGAGGAGACACCAGGAGAACTGGAGCTGGGCCTGGAGAGGCCGAATTGAGAACCCAATGCTTGGGCCTGCAGAAGCCAATAGGAGGAGTCTGAAACCGGGCCTGGAGAAGCCGACTCTGGGACATCTGGGGCCTATAGGAACACTGGGTGGGCAGAAGCTGAGCCTGGAGAGGCCAGCGTGAGGCATGAGCTGGGTAGTCCTGGAGAGCCTGAGTCGAGGGCCTGAGCTTTTGGGCCTACAAAGGCCTCCAGGAGCTGGGGAGGAGCCAAGCCACAGAGGGTCCACTGAAAGGCAGAGGCTGGGCCCAGTATGGGCCTGGCACAGGCAGGAGCTGGGCCTGGGGAAGCCGGGAGGCAGGAGCTGGCCTCAAAGAGTCCGTGATAGGTGAGTGGGCTGAGGAAGACCCCTGCGAGGGAGCGCCTGGGCCTAGACTCAAGCCAAGAGTGAGGCAAGAGAGCTGGGTCCAAAAAGGTTTGCCACAGGCACGAGCTGGTCCCCAATGGGCCACTGTGAGGGAGGTGCTCGGCTTATGGATGCAGCCAGAATGCAGGCAGGCACGATCTTGGTCTGGGGAAGCCACCAGCAGGCAGCAGCTGGTGCTGGGGAGGCTGCGGAGAGTCCAGAGCTGGGCCCAGAGGGGCCAATGTCAGGTGGTAGCAGGGCCTGTCAAGGCCACCAGGAGGCAGAACAGAGGCCTGGAAAGCCCCAGTTGAGAAAGCTTCGGGCCTACAGAAGAAAGTCCACTGGAAGCTTATCAGGAGCCGAGCGAAAAGCAGCTATCGGGAGGCAGGATGTGGTCCAGTAGACGAGGCCAGGAGGAGGATCTGGGCCTGGGGAGGCCGCCAGAAGGAAGACATAGGCTGGACCTCCTGGAGAGGTTGAGGGGAGGCAGAAGCTGGGCCCCAGGGGGCCGTTGGGAGGCAGCAGCTGGCCCTGGAGGCACCCATGTGAGGATGTTTGCCACCAATGGGAAGGAGACGCCAGGAGAGCAGGAGCTGGGCCTGGAGAGGCCGACTTCAGGACCCAATGCTTGTGCCTTCCGAGGCCAGGGGGAGGAGGCAGCAGCAGCCAGGCCTGCAGAAGCTGACTCAGGAACGTCTGGGGCCTAGAGATGCCCTCGGAGGGCACGAGCTGAGCCTGGGGAGGCCACTCGTGAGGCATGAGCCAGCTGGTCCTGGAGAGCCTGAGTCAAGTCTGAGCTTTCGGGCCTACGAAGGCTGTCGGGAGCTGGACAGGAGTCGAGTCCACAGAGGTTGTTGCGAGGCAAATTTGGAAGTTGGGCCCATAGCCACCGAGAGGTGGAGCTGGGCCCTGAGAGGCCTACCTGAAGACGTCCTGGGCCCAGAGAGGAAGTCAGCAGGCCAATGCTGGCCCCAGGAGGACCACCAGGATGCACCGGCTTGACCTGATGGGGCCATGGGGAGGCTGGGGGCGGGGCCTGTGGATACAGGCTGTCACAGAGGCAGGAGCTGAGTCTGAGCAGAGGCCACGGTGATGCCATGAGCTGGGCCTGGAGGGTCCACTGAAAGGTGGAGTCTGGGCCCGGAGGGGCCTGGTGCAGGCAGATGCCGGGCCTACGGGGGCCGGGCCTGGAGAGGAACCTTCGGGCCTGGACAGGCTGCCAAGAGTCAGGAGCTGGCCTGGGAGAGACGATGATAGGTGAGCTGGGCTGAGGAAGGCCGCTGCGAGGGAGAACCTGGGCCTAGACCGAGGCCAGCGTGAGGTGAGAGCTGGGTCCGGAGAGGTTTGCCACAGGCACGGGCTGGGCCCCAATGGCCACTGTGAGGGAGGTAGTGGGCCTGTGGAGGCAGGATGCAGGCAGGAAGGCAGGAAGGCAGTCAGGACCTTGGCCTGGGGAAGCCGTTGGCAGGTAGCAGCTCGTCATAAGGAGGCTGCAGGGATGCCAGATCTGGCCCCGGAGAGGATATTGTCAGGTGGTAGGTCGGCCTGTTCAGGCCACCGGGAGCTGGTCAGGAGCCGAGTCAAACGAGGCTGTCGGGAAGCAGGACATTAGCCTGTAGATATGGCCAGGAGTAGGAGCCAAGCCTGAGGATGCCGCCAGGAGTGATCAGAGGCTGGGTCTCCTGGAGAGGCCGACGGGGTCCAAGGGGGCCATTGGGAGACAGGAGCTTGCCCAGAAGGAGCCCACATGAGGAAGTTTTGAGCCTGGAGAGAACACCTAGTGGGTAGGAGCTTGGCCTAATGAAGTCAGTGTCAGGCAGCAGCTGGGCCTCTCAAGGCTGCTGGGAGGCCGGCAAGAGCTTTGCCAGGGAAATCTTCATGAGGTAAGAGTTGGTCCTGGAGAGTCTATTGTCATCCAGTAGCTATGCCTGTTTAAGCCATTGTTCCTCAGAAGTTTCTGCTGGGGACCTTGAGTTGAGAAAGTGTTTGGCCTACAAAGGCCACCAAGAGCTGTATAAAAGCTGATCCATAGAAGAATGTCAGGCAGGAGTTGGTCCTGGAGATGCAACTGGGAGGAAGAGCTGGACATTATAAGGAAGTTCTGGGCCTGGAGACACTGCCAAAAAGTAAAAGCTTGATCAGAATGGCCGTTGTGATGCATGAGCTTCACCTAGACAGGCCATTGGGAGGCATTAGCTGGGCCTGCAGATGCTGCTGAAAGGCAGGAGCTTGGCCTGGGGGCACTGTGGTGAGGCACACGCTTGGACTGGGGTGTCTGCTGTGAGGCAGAGTTTAAGCCTATTGGGGCCGACTGGAGGCAGGAGTTGGACCTGGAATGGCAGATTTGAGAAATCTGTCAGTCCGGAGAGGCCACAGAGATGCAGGAACTGGGCCTCAAGAGGCCGCCGAAAGGCATGAGCTGTACCTAAAGAGTCTAGTGTGAGACAGAAGCTGTGCCTGAAGAGGGTGACTAAAAGAAGGTTTGGCCTGGACAGCCTGTCAGGGGACAGATGCTGGGTCTGGAGAGGCCACTGTGAGCTGGTCCTAATGAGGTTAGAGTGAGGCAACACCTGGGCTTGTCAAGGCTACCAGGAGGCAAGTAGAAACCAGTTCAAGGAATACCTGTGAGGCAAAAGCTAGGCCTGCAGAGGCCACTGGGAGGAAAGAGCTGGGCCTGTCCAGGTCTCGGAAGGCTCAAGGTGGGCCTGAAGAGCTTGACCTGAGGCAGTTGGATCACGAGGTCAGGAGATCGAGACCATCCTGGTCAACGTGGTGAAACCCCGTCTCTACTAAAAATACAAAAAAGAACCCATGTCAGACAAGTAAGAACATTACAGTGTGTGTTGAAGTACCTGTAAAACATTGTTTCTTTGCCTTTGTAAACAATGTGTCTACTAAAAGTCCTTGCTTTCAAAAGAATATGTGGGAATAAATCATTAGAATGTATTCTTCTGTTTTTTACTTTTAACTTCCTGCCACAAGCTTACTTTAGAAATTTTTATTTTTTTAGAAAATTGAACAAGTGCTCCTTGTGGTGGATCATGCCTATAGGATGGGAGGCAGGGGTGGAAAAGTCACTAGAGGCCAGGAGTTTGACACCAGCCTGACCAACAAAGTGAGATCCAATGTGTATGAAAACATTTAAAAATTAACCAGGTGTCATCATGTATAGCTACTGAGGAGGCTGAGGCAGGAGGATCCTTAGCTCAGGAGTGCAAGCCTGCAGTGACCTGTGATTGCACCACTGCACTCCAGCCTAGGTGACAGAGTGAGACCCCATATCCTAAAACAAAAAAGAAAACAAAATAGATCACGTAGCAAGTTGTATGTGGCCTACTCTGAATATTTTTAAACTGGAAGTTCTCAGAGTAATGCTTCTAAATCTTTTGGGGTCTAGCATCCCGTTACATTTTTTAACTTTATGTAAGATTTCTAAGACTTTTTCTTTGCACAAATAATTACATTAAAGTTAAAAAATAAAACAAACTTTTAAAAATATTTTTATTCATTACATACTAATAATAAAAACATTACATGTTAATATAACTAATACAAAACAAACATTTAAAAATATTTATTACTCGTTACCTATTAATAATAAAACTGGTTGGGTGAGATGGCTCATGTCTATAACCCCAGCAATTTGGGAGGCCGAGGTGGGTGGATCACCTGAGGTCAAGAGTTTGAGACTAGCCCTCCAACATGCTGAAACCCTGTCTCTACTAAGAAATACAAAATTAGCCAGGTGTGGTAGCAGGCACCTGTAATCCCAGCCGCTTGAGAGACTGAGGCAGGAGAACTGCTTACACCCGGGAGGCAGAGTTTGCAGTGTTTCAAGATCATGCCATTGCACTCTAGCCTAGGTAACAAGAGCAAAACTCCATATTAAACAATAAAATTATTAAGTAGTAATATAAGTAATCCTTTTGTTTCTTTGAGACAGAGTCTCGCTCTTTCCCCAAGGCTGGAATGAAGCTTGTAATCTCAGTTCCTGCAATCTCTGCCCCACCTCCCGGTTCAAAGGATTCTCCTGTCTCAGCCTCTGAAATAGCCTGGATTACAGGCACCTGCCACCATGCCTGGCTAATCTTTGTTCTTTTGTCTTGTATTTTTTTTTTTTTTTTGACGGAGTTTTGCTCTTGTTACCCAGGCTAGAGTGCAATGGCGCGATCTCGGCTCACCGCAACCTCCGCCTCCTGGGTTCAGGAATTCTCCTGCCTTGGCCTCCTGAGCAGCTGGGATTACAGGCACATGCCACCATGCCCAGGTAATTTTTTGTATTTTTAGTAGAGACAGGGTTTCACCTTGTTGACCACGATGGTCTCGATATCTTGACCTTGTGATCCATCTGCCTCGGCCTCCCAAAGTAATCTTTGTTTTTCGTAGAGATATGGTTTGCATGTTGGCAAAGCTGGTCTGAACTCCTGACTTCAGGTATCTACCACCTCATTCTCCAAAGTGTTGGGAATGCAGGCGTAAGTCACTGCCACCCGGCCGATATACATATTTTTTTAAAACACTGATAGTCGGCAACAACACTGGGCAGGGGTCTCCTCATTCCCAGTGATAAAAACCCCACTGCTGGCTCCAGGGTTGCAAGGGCTGCAGAGCCAAAAGGCTCTGACTTGAGATTTCATTACTTTATTTGTATTGTGAGACAAGGTCCTGCTTTGCCACCCAGGCTGGAGTGCAGCTGTGCACTTATAGCTCACTGCAGCCTCAATGTCCTCGGCTCAAGCCATCTTCCTGCCCTCAGCTCCCCAGTTATGGTACTACAGTTGAGTGCCACCATACCTGGCTAATTTTCTTATTTTTTTTTGTAGAGTGCGGAGTCCTGCTATGTTGCCCAAGCTGGCCTCAACTCCTGACCTCAAGAGATCTGCCACCTCAGCCTCCTGAGTAGCTGAGACTACAATTACACATCACCATGCCTAGCTACATTTATTTTATTAAATTTTGAAAAAATATTTTTGTAGAGAGAGGTCTTGCTATGGTGCCCAGGCTGGTCTTGAACTTCTGCCCTTAAAACATACTCCCATCTCTGCTTCCCAAACATCTGGGACTACAGACGTGAGCCACTGCACTGCACCTGAAGAGATTTCTTTAATCTAGCATCCCATATTTGGTAACACTGGGAAAGGCAGTAGTGTTTTTAAAAATTACTTAATAATCAGTAAGAAACAAACTCAACCTCGACCCCTGCCTTCTCTCACACCCCACATCCAGTCTGTCAGGAAATCCTGTTCACTGTCTTCACATGTACTGAAGATCCCCACCTAGCAAACTCCCTGGACTCCTCCCTACTCTCTCCTCTGACCATCTCTCACCACCACCATGACCCTGGTCAGGACCACTATCATCTTCCACCTGGATGTTACCACAGTTTGACCCCCATGCTTCCACACAAATCTTCCCAGTCTTTCTCAACTCAGCAGCCAGAGAATGCTTTTACATCAGGAGACAGATCATGTCGCCTCTCTGCTCAGAACCCTCCCACAGTTCCCATCTCATAGTAAAAGCCAAACCCCAGCAATAACCTCCCAGGGCTTACACGATCTATACTGAGCCCCCACAGCAAACTCCATGGCCTCCTCCCCTAATTCTCTCCCCATCTCCTGCTCCACTGACCTCCTTCCAGAGCCTCAGACACTTTCTTCTGTTGTTTTTGCCCACAATGCTCCTCCTTCAGCACCTCAGCCAGCACCTTCCCTCCAAGTCTTTGCTCATTTCACTTAGGAGGCCACCCATGACCTTTCTATTTAACATTGCCATCTGTCCCCACTCCCACGTGTGTTTTTTTTTTTTTTTTAAACAAGATCTCACTCTATCACAAGGCTGGAGGGAGTGCTGCAATCACAGCTCACTGCAACCTCGAATTCCTAGGCTCAACTGATCCTCCCACCTCAAGACTCCCTAGTAGCTGGAAACGATAGGTGCATGCCATCATGCCTGGCTAATTTGTTTTATTTTGAAATGGAGTTTCACTCTTCTTGCCCAAGCTGGAGTGCAATGGTGCAATCCCAGCTCACTGCAACCTCCACCTCCCAGGTTCAAGTGATTCTTCAGCCTCAGGCCCCCAAGTACAGCTGGGATCACAGGGTGTGCCTATGCCTGGCTGATTTTTGTATTTTTAGTAGAGATGGGGGTTTGCCATGTTGACCCAGGATGGTCTAAAACTCATGACCTCAGGTGATCCTTGGCTCCCAAAGTGTTAGGATTACAGGCGTGAGCCACCACACCCAGTCAATTTAATTTTTGTAGAGACAGGGTCTCACTATGTTGGACCCAGGCTGATCTTGGACTCTGGCCTCAAGGACTCCTCATGCCGGGATTCCCAAAGTGCTGGATTAC